CTGAGAGGTCATGTGAAATGTAGCTCCCGAGTCAAGAAGTCATACATCTGCAAATCTTTTTCTACTTTCCGTCACGTTGCTGCTTCACAACATAGAGCGTCTCCATCATCTGAAATGGTTACAACATTTCCTTAAGGATTGAAATTTTTCTTTAAATTCCAACAATCTTTCTTCAAGTGACCTTTCTTGTCACAATTGTAATATTTGAAATTCTTCTTACTCCTGGACTTGGATCTACCATGATTGTGACTCCCACTTTGGCCACGTTCTGTTGATCTTCCTCTTGTCACCGTTAAGGCCCCTACCTATTGCGAGCTCATCTGCCTGTCTTCCTTGTTTTTGCGCCGATTTTTTTCTTCTAATACAACAGCAGTAACATTATCGAAGACTAGGAGTTCCTCAGATTTCTTGTTTGTTAGATTGATGATAAGTTGATCATATGAATCAGGTAGACTTTGAAGTAGAAGCTCCGCACGCTCTTGTAACTCTATTGTATATCCAAACGCTTTGAGTTGAGAAAACAGAGTATTGAGGGAATTTATATGCTCCGTCACTGAAGTAGATTCCACCATCCGCAAGGTATAGAGTTTCCTCTTAAGAAAAATTTTGTTGTGGAGTGATTTGGCCTCGTATAGTTTGATAAGATGAATCCAAATCTCCTTTGCTATTTTCTTCTCTTCTATGCTTGTCAACATTTCATCTGCTAATGCAAGATGAAAATTTGCAACAGCATTCTTGTCCATCTCCTTCCATTTCTCATCTGTGATTGTCGCCGGCTTTGTATTTATAGCCTATTGGCAATTATTTTTTGTCAAGATAGCCTTTATCTTTAATTTCTACAGTGAGAAATTGCTCCAATTAAACTTTACTATCTCAAATTTTGCTACCATTACTTTTATCAGGACTCCCACTTTAGTAATTGTATACGTGAATAATAACCGTATACGTGAATAGTACCCAGTACCTTCCAAGGGTAAATAATAATCTATCTTATTTTCTGATGTGGAGGATTCACTATTTAGTGGCAATCACAAAGCATACGATAAGTAGATATCTACACCTAAGTTGGGCTCTGATACCACTTGTTGGAAAAATGACAGGCCCAATAAAGTAAAACTGCGGCTAATAAATAAGATGAAATAACAAAACAGGGATACAAAAATTTACGTGAAAAATCCCTCAAATAAATTTAGGGTAAAAACCACGGGTAAGGATAGAAGAATTTCACTATGAGGAAAAATTGGAGTTACAACCTCTCTCTATTTAAGGAGATAAACAACACTAATCTCTCTAAAATAAGAAAAAAAAAACTCTCACTTTCTCTCGATATTATTTGCTTGTGGCTTAGGATGACTTTGGAATGAATTGAGAGTGCTTGGGCGAGGCCTATTTATAGGCCTCGCACCCGTCTCCAATTTCAATAAAATAAATGGGCAAGGCAGCTGTCTCCGTGTTTCTGCTCTTCAAGAAATGCGACTGTTTTTTTTTTTTTTGTTTAAATTAGAGGCTACCTGCTGGTAGCCAAAGAAGTAAAACAAAGGTTGCACAAAGGTTGGACCCCACAATGGACCCCACATAGAAGAGAAAGAAGAAGATGCCCGCACGAGTTATAGAAGCTCTCACGGCCTCAAACCTTTCATTAATCATTTTCTCAAATTACAGAAAGGAAACTTCTCACTCAGATCACATCCGTCTCTATGATCCCCTTTGCTCTTCAACTCACCAAGGGTCTCATGCCCAAGAGTAGGGGATCTGGGCTCCTTTGTATGGCCCTTAGAAGATCTCAATCAAATGAGATCAAATCTTCTTCCAGATAACATCCCTACCCAATAGGATTCTATCTTATCAAGGTTTATCGCCATTCTGGTTTGGACATGATTGATTTGTGTGAGTTGAACCTTTCAAGCTTATCTCATCCGAGATCTTCGCTCCAAGCTTGATCTTCGCTCTAGGCTTGATCTTCGTCACCCTTATAATCTGTACAAATGGCTTCAATTGAATCCCCATAGCTTTCAGCCCTTTTCTAGATTCCGCTTCAACAAATTTCCTTAAGCCGTCATCCTTGAGATCCTCGTGCCTAAATTTAAGTTTCAAATGCTAAGTTCTCCTTCTGGATTTTCGGTCCGAGCGTCACCCATGCATATTACCACCATCATCCAACTTCGCCAGCTTCCTCTGATTTTGTTGGTGTTATCAATTTCTTTTGGGATCGTCGCCATTGTCTTTTGGTTTTTTATTGAACCCCTTGATGGTGGCAAAGAAGTCCGGAGGCTTCTGCTTCCTAGACCTGGTTACGTGACCCATGTTCTCTTTTTCCTCACCCGAAGCTGACCCTTTCTAGTCTGAGCGTAATTCACCTGGGTCAGCCCGATTTTCTAACTCAGGCTTGCTGGTCTCAACCTAGTCCAACTATCTTTGGGCTAGTCAACGGCCCGCCTTGGCCTGGTCCAACTCTTCACACCCTGCCATGTCTGTTGGGTCTTTTGTCTGACCCATCCAGTTGTTCCTAAATCTAGCCCACCCTGGCCTATGACGGTCTAACATCCTATATGGTTCAATTCCTTTGACCCACTCCTTTTAGACTCTTGAATCGGGCCAATCTAATTTCAGGGGCTAACAGTTGGGAATGTCTATCTTGGCATCCTATCAAATGGCTTGAAAATTTCTGCTATTAATAAAGAAAGCTGGGTTTATATTATCATCTGCTGACCAAACTAATGGAAGATTTATTCTGTTAGGACATATCCATCATCATTCATGCATATATCTCCTATAATTATTAAAATATAAATTCAACGAGGAGGTCGTCAAACTCTGGATTTTTTGATATTAATAGGGCATTTGCCCCCTTCCATTGGTTTAATTTTGGGTTGTCGGAAATCTCCTTTTTTCTAAAATTAAATTTTAAAAATAGTTAAGAAAGTATTGAAAGTGTAAAAATTATGAATATTTACAAATTTATAACTCAATTCACCATCTTATGTAATAAAATAACAAAACTCACTCATTTTTTTAAAATTATTTTAGTAAAACCATTCTCCATAAACCTATTTTTGTAGAATACACTGTAAATTTAACACCTACCATTTCTTGTGTGGTCGTGAAATTGAAAAAGAAAATAAAAAAGCTCTATTTGTAGTTCCTTTTGTATGATAACAGAATTGTCGATTTCTAGCCTATAATATTTTTCAAAAATATATTTTTTCCCTTTTTTCCCTTCATGACATGAGTCCAAGAGTGTCAGAATCTATTTGCGATAGTTTTTATTTTTTAAAAGTATTAAATTTTAAAAGCACTAAAAAATGTGCTAAAAATATAAAAACTAAAAGGTCTATTTGGTTTGCAAAAATGTTTTCTACTTTCATTTTCTATTTTTATTCTTTGAAAATGCTTTTCATTTTTAGATTTTTTATTTTAGAAAACACATTTAGTTTGTTGTTTTCTATTTTCAAAAAATGAAAACAAAGAAAATATGTTTGGTTTATCCATTTTCAAAAAATTGAAAATGAGGATTAAATTGAATGGAATCAGAATTTTAAGATTTTTAATAGGGATTTAAGTGAAAAAATCAGAGATTTTGAAATTTAAAATAACACATGAAGAGTTTAGGGACTGGATCAAACAAATGAGAAGAAATGAGGGACTAAAATAAAACTTTTTTAAAAATTCAACAGTACCACCTTCTACCTCCATTGGGGTTGTGATAGGGTTTAACAAATCCAATCATGAACCAATTCAATCTTGTTGCTATTTTGGTATTTTTCAAGAAATTTTTACACAATTCTACGTTGTATAATTTGACTAACAAAAGTCCCAAAACAATTTGATAAAATTGCAATTTCGAATGCTGAAATTTCAATGCCATGATATTGCAATCACTGTAGGCATCTTCTATAAAACATTGAAAACCGAGGAAGAAGATGATGCAAGAAAGGAGACAAGTGATTGACAATGACAACAATGGCTAATTGCAAGCCTTCGCTCATTAAAAATGACAAAGGCTACGAGATCAAATCTTATTGACCTTGAAAAAGGAGGTTTGTAGTCGTAGGGGAGCCTTGTCGACCCTAAAAATCCCCCTTCCTCTTGCAAGAGAAGATTAGGGTCATCTGTACCACTTGATGACAAGCATAGGTGGCAAGTGACCATTCGCAACGAGGCCAAAGAGGAGCTTCAACCATCGACAATGAGGCTAAAGATGAACAATAGCCCATGGAGAAGAAAAGCAGAAAAATAAAAAAACATTGAAAACTCACTTAATTATAAAATCGCCACTGTGTTTTCATCTTGATGGAAAATATTAAAAATAACTTTATATTATTTTCAACTTTTAACCATTTTCAGAAAATATTTTTCTAAAGTTGAAAATGAAAACAGAAAACAGGCCAACCAAACATGTTCTAAAATTATTTGCAAATTCTAGTGAAAATACGGAAATTATTTTCAGTGAAAACTAACTTCAAAATTGAAATTCTGAACTGACAAAATTACTTTTTTATAATTAGAAATTAAAAATTATTTAAACTATTGAAGATAAACTCTGACCAATAAGCATCTAATAAAAGTCGACCATTTGATTAAGCGGAGAGGAGAAAATTCAGGGATTCGCTCGTCATGAGAAGTCAAGACATAGAACGGGTCTCACCAAACGTGTAATGAAATTTCAATCCATTTTCTCATTCGTACCTTCGTAGAATCTGCCCTCTCCTAATCACATCCTTCGGCTCCAGGGCGGATTGCCTCATCTCCACCGTTCACTCCCCCATATATCTGTGATCAACGGCTCGGAAAGCACTGCGTGACAGCATACAATAGTCCAAACTAGTGTTCCGGGTAACTGAGAAACTGGAAACACTTCCTTAGCTGCAAAGCTTTCTAACAATATATAAAGGGGTTCTACGCGCAATTCATATATTCCATCAGCACAATCACAAAAAGCAGAGACAACCGTTCCCCGTTTCACAAAACATTTTCAGGCTTTTATTAATTTCTCGGAAGTGATGTCTTCTGCTTTTCCTTCAGCACTGACAATGGTGAGTTAATCTTGTAATTTTATCTTTTTATTTTATAAAATATTTATAATACAGATGATTTTGACACAAAAACAAGAAAAATTACTATATACAAATATATATCAAATAATGAATTCTTCATGGCTTAGGGGTTGTTTGTTTTCATGAAATGCTTTTCTTTCTTTTATGGCTTTTCCCCTATATAAAAAAGGAAGATCTAGACTTGGTTTTTGTGTTTCTACACATTAAATTCTTTTAAGATAGAAGTCCTCTGGTTTATGAAAAAGACACGTAAAAAGTTTTTAAAAGCCCATTTTACTGAACCAAATGCCAAAAAAGAAATGACTAGCAAATGAAGTTGCATTTCGTTGACATTTCCTGGCTTTTCATTCAATACGTTGATTGGTTTGTGGACTGATAAGCTTTCTGTGGTTGAAATGCAAATCTGGTACTCAGCAACATTCTTTCACAATCAAAATTGAGGTATTACATCCCTCCATTCACGTCAAATTTCATTCTTTAACTAGTTCATCATATATTTTAACTGACAACAATTTTTGGATCAGAAAGAATTCGATCGGCCATCGGAGAGAGTGAAGTCTCTGGATCTGCATCCAACTGAGCCATGGTAACCATAAATTTCTTCACTGGTTTCATCACATACTGCATGCAAATTTACAAGACGGAATTCTTTATGTTTCTCTCTAGTTATCACTTAATTGTTTATACAAACCAGTAATTTGGAGAGAGATCTCCATTTCCATTTCTTTTCTTTTCTATTCAGTAGAAATTGCCCGAATCCAAACAAGCTAGCTGCGGAAAAATTATGATTATTTTAATGGGAAAATGCTATCATCTGCAGGATTCTAGCAAGTCTGCATTCAGGAACAGTGTTTATCTGGAACTACCACTCACAAGTAAACAACTCTTTTCTTCTACTTTAACTATTGCGAGACTGATTTCATTTATGTTAATATCTCTGTTAAATAGGTCTTAATTGGGGTCTATAACTCTGTTTGTCATGCTTCTTTCATCTTTCCAGGTACTGGTGAAATCAATCCATGTCACAGACTCACCAGGTACATAATCTTGACAATCTAATGTTGTTTGACGTGCCGTGTCAATTTAAGGCCTTGTTTGGTTGATTTTAGTTACACTTTTGTTTTTTCAGTGAGATCTGCCAAATTTGTGGTACGAAAACAATGGATTGTAGTGGGAGCAGATGACAAATTCCTCCGTGTATACGATTACAATTCTGGCGAAAAGGTTAAGGAATTCGAGGCACACGTGGACTATATCAGGTGTTTGGCGGTGCATCCAACTCTGCCGTATGTGTTATCAGCATCCGACGACAAGCTCATCAAGCTCTGGGACTGGGAGAAGGATTGGACTTGCACAAGAATCTTCCAAGGACACAGCCACTACGTGATGCATGTAGGTCTCAACCCAAGAGATGCCCACACCTTTGCGAGTGCTTCCCTTGATTGCACTGTAAAGGTACAACTCCAATATACACCTAAACTCTTCCTATCTTCAATTTCACGTGTTAGGCAGTGTTTGCAATAACTTGTCAAAAAAGATTTTGAATATTTTAATATATACAATCATTTTTAAAGGATTTGAAAACATATTTCTAATTTTTACTTCTTTTTATTTAAAAAAAAGTGTAAAATAAAAATAAATGTTAGAAGTGTTGGGTAATTGTGCTTCGAGACGTGAGTGGCATTATTATAATTAAATATAAGTTATTTTGAATTTTTTATGAATTCTTTTTTCTAAATCTAAAATTACTCATAAAATTTTTTAAAAATTTTTTGCAAAATAAAATACAGAAGTTATATCACAAACATTTATTTTACAAATACACTAAATTTCTAATTATAATTAACTGATACTTTAAATTTCAATTTCGGATTTTTCAGAAGTATCTGGAATCTTTCCCTTAAGTGTTTTTTTTTTTTTTTCTTTCTCTCTTGATGTTTTCTTTCACAGGTATGGGATATTGGATCCCAAGACCCAAATTTTACTCTGGAAGGCCATTCAAGTGGTGTGAATTGTGTGGAATTCATAGCAGATAGTGCTGGTAAAACATATGTGATCAGCGGCTCTGATGATCGCACGGCCAAGGTAAGCCTTAATTTCATTTTTATATATAAAAAATTGATAATTTGCATATATAAATGTTTTGATTCTATGAATACAGATGTGGGACTCTGAGACCAGAACTTGTGTCCAGACTCTGGAAGGCCATGAAAACAATGTAACTACGGTATGTGTCCACCCAGGAGCTCCCATTATAGTTACAGGTTCTGAAGATGAGACCATTTGCTTCTGGAATGCAACAACTTACAGGTAAGCTGCAGAAGATATGTTTTGAAATTTGTGAAAGCATATCTTAAATAAGTCTTAAACACGCTTGTGTCACGAGCATACAGTCTATGGCCTTCCCGTTGTTGTCATCAACCTTTTTTTTAATTTTTTTTTTTCTTGATAGCAATTAAAGGGGAGAGTTATAGCGCTCTAAGTACCTATTTTAACTAATGAGAGAGGGTATTTATATGGAGATTCCCTTAGGTTTTTCTCAATTAATTAAGGAGATTCATGTAATTTAAGGATAATTAAGTACTAATAACATATGTTAATTGTAAAATTATTTTACGTGTATGCCCAAGCGGATTTATCACTTGGCATGAATTAACAGACATGTACACAAAAATATACAAATGATGACATATATGTGAATATGCGTAGCTTCAAAATGATTTAAGTGTAGGACAACGTAAAGTCCAAATTACATAAAGTAATCTCCTTCTTTGCAGTGAATGTAAGGCACTTGACAGGGACCACGCCAGAAAATTATTTTAGGGAGTCATATAGCGTGTATTAAAAATAAAGAATTCTAGGGGGGCCAAACTGTAATTTCCAAATATGGACAAAGTCTTAAGGGGGAATGTATGACTGTTGCATTCTTGAAGGGTCCATGCATGATTTTATAAATTTTTGAAGGATATATTGTTATTTTGGAAAGAAATAAAAACGAAATTTAATACATTAATTTTAGAAGGATTGAAGCCTTGCCCCCTTTCCCTACCAGCTCTCCTGGTTTCGCTTCTGATATTTGAGTAATTATTTTGGAATATAAAAGTTCAAATATTTACAATTTATTATTTTGTTAGCTATTCATTTATTTTTATTTTTGCAATTAACCTATCCAGTCTGAGACTAACCCAGAGTCTAGATTGTCCTAAAGATTACCCTGCAAGCGTTCACTTAATTCTGAAAAGTTAGAAATCAGTACATAAAGATTTTTCAAATTACATAAAGTTCCTTTGAGCCAGAAAATTATCATCAAAGTACTAGCTGATCATCGTATATATGTTCTAAAAATTAATTTGTCAATTATTTTTTATGGCAAATTGAAGGGAAGTGATTTTAACGTTGTTTTGTAGCTTCTTTCTTATGCCTACTAGAAAACAATGGTATTACCTGGTGATTGAACTAATTGTTGGTTTGCTTAATCACAGGCTCGAGAACAGATTGAACTATGAAGCTGGAAGAGTTTGGAGCACTGTTGGATTCATGAAAGGGTCACGGATGTAAGCACTTTCTTCATGTTCTACAACATGACATTCTCTTGTTTATATAGCTTTCAACATAGAATTAGTAAGATTTGATTAAATTAATGCTCTGGACAGGATTGTGATTGGTTGCGACAAAGGCACTGTTATCGCAAAAGTTACGTGCTCTCAAGGTTGGGATTCTAATGAAAATCAAGGCCCAAGGGGAGGATTCAAATGAAAATTAAGCAGAAATTCGGGCATGAGATGTAATTCCAATAAAACTAATGTTGTTTTCTAGTACTCCCACCGTTTTCTGTTGTTTCTGGTGTGATGGGTGGTCATATGCTATTTGCTCTTGCTAATATTGTGTATTACGAAGAGAGGGGTTGTGTTTGCAGAAATAAACCTATTCATGTTATTGAATATTAGCATGTTTGTAACATGCAATAAATTTTCAATTTCCTTTTATGTGCAAGAGGGAAGTTTTTAAATTTCTACGTTCTCTCTCTCCAGACAGCTCCAATTCTTCTTCCCTTTTAAATTTCACCCTTCTTTCTTTTTCTTCTTCCACCATTGTTATAAAGTTTCAAATCATAAATTATCTTGTCAAGTCACCTCTAAATCTCATAAAGATTTGAATATTAATGTGTCCAATCATAAAAACGTCAAATGAGTCAATTAATATTATATCCAGTCATACTAAATGATTTATTTTTGGTATTAACTAAACTCTTTGTTATCGTATAGTCAACTGATGTTACTTTCAATTAATTATTCAATTTTGACTATTAGGCAGTTACTGCAAAGGGCATTCACTTATCTCGGTAAGACAAAGTATAATAAGATAATTTTATCTTACTTGTATAGTAATTTTATTCATTTAAAAAAAATGAAAATAATATAATCTTAAATAATTTTTATCACCCCAAATATATTTTATGATACTTATCAAATTCTGATAATTTTATCCTGATTCGGTTGATAAAGGTAAATAAGTGTAGTTGCTTGAATTTTTTATTCTGATCATTTATCAAGTTACTGAATATGTGTAAAAGGGTAATAAGGTAAAATAAATTTATCTTATTCTACTTTATCAAGCCAAGCGAACGGGCCCTAAATGTAGTATCGATGGACTATATGATGACAAAAAAATAAATAATATCAATACACATTTGATTTATATTTCGTTGATTCAACTGTGAGATAATTACTATGAAAAATAAATCATTTCTAACATATTAATAGCTAACTGTAATATATTTAATGTTTTTCTTATAAAACTTGAAATTCTTGGTTTTCCTACTTCATTTTTTTTTTTTTTTTGCTTTTTAAAATTTGAATTTTACAAATGAATTTTTTTGTCACGCCCCAACTCGAATGCATAACCAGCACTAAGATTGGCTTGCCAACCTTAGTAAGCCTCTAACCACAATAATAGAAAAGAGCATGATTTCAAAAAAACCACTAATATATACACAAATCAAAAACGCGTCTGAGTGATATATGGAGCCACTAAAGTACAAAAAGGAAATATACAAACGTGCCTGTACATCAAAATTAATACAGGGGTGAACTAGATCGATCACTGAAGTTACCACTGCGAATCGGAACAGAAATCTGGAAAGTGGGGGGAAAAAAGGTGAGTATAAAACTTATTGAATAATAGTACTACCCTAGACATGCAGAGACATGAATCATAAACATTTTAAGCACAAAAATTATCTCAAATAATAACTAACAGCGTAGTTAAGGAAAAACACATTTGCCTCAAGTAATACATATGTTTTTCTTTTTTATAAATGGTCAAAATCATAAGATCAAACACCTGTCGGAGTATCAGAATATAACACGTATCTCATGTCAAAAATAATCCATTCACATATCATATATCATATATGACACTAGGATCCTGTGCCAAAACCAGAATTAGAATAACAGAAGACACATAGTGCCAGAACACCATATCACATATAGTATAGAAGACACATAGTGCCAGAACACCATATCACATATAGTACCAGGATCCCATACCAGAACTAGAATCAGAATCACAGAAGGTACATAGTGCCGGAACACCATATCACATGTTGTACCAGGATCCCGTACCAAAGCCCAAATCAGAATCACGGAAGGCACATAGTGCCGGAACACCATGTCATATGTCATACTGGGATCCTGTACCAGAACCAGAATCAGAATCACAGAAGACACATAGTGCTTAAACACTATATCACATATTGTACCGAGATTCCATACTAGAATCAGAATCAAAATCACAGAAAGTACATCGTGCCAAAACACCACTGTGTTCCTCAGAATCATATCATATAAAACTCCCAATAGGTTAACTTTTTAAAAAAACACACGTATCACTGAAATATGTATGTAAATACTTACAAATATATTTCCAAGCTTATCATAGTTTAAAATAGGAGATACATGTCCCAAAATTTAATATCATAATTCAGGAATCAGAGCACAGAAGATAACAGAAAACCAAAGTGTAACACATGCATAGAAAAGTATTATCACTCACCAGACACGTCAGAACCAAAATTCAAAACTCTGATAAATGGCTCACGAGTCAAAACGCGTCTTCTCGGGTGTATCTACAATCACCAAGTCGCAAATCAAAACCGAAATCGAAACTCATCTTAAAAGACTCGACTCTTAGAAATGGCCTTGGACCCCTTTATCCAGGCCCTCAACACGCATCCCAAGACCCCTTGGATATCCCTCCTCAACTATAATTCATGGCCAACCCAAAACATAATCTCATCTTTAACAAAAAAGCTTAACCCGAGATGATCCGGTATCCAAAATTATTAAACTGACTTGAACTGGCTCAAAAACCTCAAAATTGAACTCAACCGGCCATGAACCACCCAAAACCAAACTGAACTAGACTGAAACCCTACTAAACTATGCCAAACTGAGCCCTATTTCTCATGAATCGAGCTGAACCGGGCTTAAATCCCCATAAATTAGGTTGAACCGGGCTTGATTCTTCATAAATCGTGATGAACTAGTTCCAAACTACATAGAATCGAATTGAACCGGCCAAAACCCCATGAAATCACACTAAATTGGGCCCTGATGCCCTTGAACTGGCCTATTAACCTTAAAGTCGGCCAACTTGACCACAAATCCCCATAATTTTGGGTGAACCGAAATGGTTCATTGCCTAACTCTGGTCCAATCCTCAAGCCTAAACCCTTATGAGCTGGGAACTGGCTTGACTTTCTCGGTCTGGGCTGGTCTGATCCCTAAACCGGCCGGTTCTAGCCCAACTGGGCCGAACTGGCCCAAATAGCCTAGGACAGACCTAGATACCATCCAAGTTTGTCATCTTCACCTAGTAACTAGGGTCTCAGACTGGGGTGTTTGCGAATGCCCGAACACCCCTCAAAACACAAAAAAAACAAAATTTCAACCTTACCCGACCAAACCAAAGCCCACAAGGAAGAATTCCGAAGCCTTCGAGCTAACTAACACACTTTAATCGAATTGATTTATGCTAAAAACCCAAATTTTCCCTAGAAGGATCTTGTCAGCACTGCTGGCTCTTCCCAGTTCCTATTTTTTCTAGTTCTCACTCAAAAGCTCAAATTGGTGACTCTGTTTGATTCCCCTCTCCTTCTTGCACCTAAAATCAAGATTTTGGGGAAGTTGTCTGGCTCCTATTGCAGCAATTTTACTTTAAGGACCTGCAGCCAGGTTCCACCCAAAAGTCCTCCCCCTGTCACAATCCGGCCCATACAATTTTTGTTTCTTTCAAATAACCCCCCTAATTTCC